AACTCACTTACCTTGCTAAGTTGATCCAGAAGTCTCATATAATCTGCTTCACTCTCCAGCATGAACTTCACAATTTGGTATCTTTTGATCTGGAGAACAAAATGGAAGCTACAGAACATACCTCACATAAAGGAGAATGGCTCAGGGTTTAAACATGACTTGTGATCAAGCTCCAAATTAATGCAGGATGCATTGATCTAACAAAAAATAGAGGTGAGGTGGGATTTGAAGTTTTCCGATTTAACTTAATGATGTGTGAAATGCATATGCAAAAAAAAAAAAAAAAGAAAAAAATATGCTGATGCTCTTTGTTGTTTACTCTGTTTGATTGCATTTAACTGCACTAAAACACCAACTGCACTGTACATACATTGTGTGATTTCAAGAAAGTAAATTTCTTTGTATACCTGCTCATTGGATAACCCTTCTGGCATGGGTGGCATGACAGGCTGCTGATAGTTTACAGAGTCTGTGATATCTGGGTCAACATAAACTGCATTTGCTTCTTCATTTTCTATACAAGTAAAACAAAACTTACTTGTAGCAATTGCAGGGGATATTGTTAGTAGTGAAAGTGGTTCAATTTGCAGCAATGCTGAATAAAGTCAATTAATATTCTTGCACTGTCTTGATGTGAATTCTATAATGCGTATCTGGGAAAAGCATCAAAGGACAATTTCCTGAGTTTCAATCAGAGGATATCAATCTATGTTGTTATTTGGTTCTGGTTTAGAAAGCTTTCACAATTATTGTAATGATTGACACAAGCATGAACAAAATGAAAAGGGAATGTTTTGGCTTTGCATCCCACAGTTTGCAGGTCTGTGAAAGGGCCAGTAACAGAGTTTGAAACAGTCTCATTTATCCAGATAAGTTTATGTCCATGGGTACACTCCACACTGAAAATTAAAAAAAAAATTGGAAACTTCATAGAAACCATTACTGAAACAATGTAAAAGTAAAAATGTAAATATGCAAATTAGAATGAAGAATTGAAAAAAACTCTGAAATTTTGTTAGTTTTTTCTAATGTTTCCATTTTAGAAGTGAAAATGAAATAAAGAATAGATTTGTTGATATGAGAAGTGCCTAACTACAATTAATCAAAATTATCATTTATAACAAAATCCTCAAATGCGATTGGTTGTCACCAGCCTGATTTGAGCACTTATTGGAAAGTGTAATGAGACAGCTAAAGGAACAGTTAACACATCCTGCCTGAGTACAGAACAACTCATGTGCATGTGCTGTTGTCACACATTTTGCCAAGTGAACTATTGTTTTTTTGTTATGAAAACATATAACCAATGTCTAGTTCCTTTCTCAAATTTTGAAATAGTTTTGATTAATTGTAACAGGAGTTCATGTTGTCCAATTCTATGATAACAGACTTTACTCGGTCCTATTATCATTGTTGATGTAAAAAATATCAAATTATCACAGATCTGACAAAGTTATTTTCAATATTAAAACTATCATTGTGAATCAATAAAATACAAACACATTGCACCTTTTTGTGAGTTACTGGCCAAGTATGGTATACTTGGCACTCTATTCAGTCCAAGGCAACCCTTAAATTGGGCCTTCAGTCCTGGACTGGTCAGTGATGACTTCTTCCCAGTGGAAAATGGCGAGAAGTTTGCAATTTCTGATACAAATTGAAACTGAATAAAGAGAAATAAATTACATTGGATTCCCAAAATACTTGTGGGATGTACAACATGACATACAAATGAAATTTCAACTGTCCTTATACAAACTTCAGTTTCTTTACACAAGGGACCATGAGCAAGGTATTATTTAGGAAATGAAAACAACGCATGGGACAAAAACATTACAAAAATTAGAACATTTTTGAGAATGGGGAAAGCATAAGCGCATTCTCTCTGTTTACTTATGATATATCCTTCTTTGCTCATTCTACTAAGGAGGTGTTGGAGACATTCTATCTCTAGTTTATGGTAGCCCATTCATGTAATAGCTAGGTCATCAAATGATGAGTGAATTCAGTAGACAAACATCAGGGATAGAATTTGAAAAGAGAACTTTTCTTTAGAATGCTCATTCTACTAAGTAGAAAGAATGTGAAAAGAGGACTTTGCTTTAGAACATAAATCAGAACTACAAATCAAAGCAAGTTACCGGTCTCTTCCGTTCCCTCATGGGACTTATTTCCACCGTATCATATGGATCCTCTTCCTCATCGATAAAACCATCTTGTGTTCTTATACTCCCTCCATATGTGATGTCATCTTCAGTTTCAAAGTCTGAACCCCATGGGTCATTTTCAGAGTACTCGTCACTTTCATCATCATGTGAAGGCATGACATATGCCTCTGTGGTTCAAGGAAAAGAGATGATATAGTATATGATTTGAACCAAATAAATATTTATGTCAAAAGCACAAAAGTTTAATTAATGCTGTTATTTCAAGGACATTCCAATCAAATAACAACAAAGAATATACACCATATACAGTAAGACTCGATTAAAAACCCCACCAGTCAGAAAGCAAACCAGCTTATTATTTAATACTGTATGATAATTTGGTTTTAAATACTAAAACAGTGGATGGCATTGAAGATGCACTCTGATTGGCTACTCAAACACTGAATATCCTTTGCTGTTCATCTCAGAGCAACATGCTCTGGATTTGCACCCGAAAATATTGTAATCGTTGCTAGAATAAATGAGTTAAAAACCATCTTCTTGGGCTGTATTATTTTCACTGTTTACTATATTCTAGAACAATCAGTCAACTCAGTGTCATTAGCTAACATGAATAGTTAAATATTCATCACCTAGCCACCTCCACTTTGGTGAACAGTTTTTGACTGTCAACAGTGTTGGCCACCACAAAGAATTTCTAGTTATAAAATTTGATGTTTTAAGCCTTAGACCATCTTCAATGATGTGGTTGAAGATTCAAACTTATAAAGTTCTACCAAAAATCAAATTTAGGATGTCATTAGCATGACACTCAAATTTGGGGCCTCTAGATGTAAGTCCAGAACACTAAATACTCCAGAACAAGACATACCTCTGTTGACTATGACCTCATCATATGTTCCATTACTTTTCCAGCTCTGGGCAACACTGCTATCTCTTGGAACGTCATCATATAGATGTTCCTGTGAACCAGACAGTGCACTACCAATTGTGTCCCGCCTTTGCACTAAAATAGGAGATGTCGATCTTTCTTTAGAAACATCAGCACCCTCTTGAGAGTAAAGAAAGTCATAAAATGATTCCACTTTTCTAACACCACCTTCAGAGGACACATCCATGAATGAAAGGACTTTGCGGCTTGTGTCCATCACATTATTTTCTACAGTCAAGCTAGGTAGCTCATCTTGGTTTGGACTTGATGTTAGCACTGGCTTGCAAATAATTTCCTCAAGTTTTTGTTCACCCGAGTCATTACTGGTCACAGAAAGCACATCACCTTCATCTGATGAACTCTTCTGATCAGCCTTTGGTTCAGCAGAGTTTGGTACTTGTGGCAAACGCCTTCTAGGTGGCTTGACAGGGTCACCTTCAGGACTGTGACTGAGTGAAGTTTTTTGTTCCATGTCATTACTAGCCCTCTTTCGAGGTTGACGTCTTGAGGGTACCTGAGGACTAGGATCATTTTCAGTTTTTGCTCCAGCGATGAATCCCTTGCCATCTTTATTCTTATTTAAATCTGCTTTCACTGATGTCCACTGTTCCTTGCCATTTTCCTTGCAATTTTTCAGTCTATCATTTCGTGAACCTTGATCATTGGACTCAATATCATTAGGTTTAGATAACACCTTACTAGAGTCATTTTCATTATCTGCATCTTTTCCTCCATCAGCTGTCTTTAAATTTTCAGTTTTATTTTGTCCTCTCAAATCTTTGTTTTGGGTTTGCATAGTGCCCTTGCCTTCAAAAGGTGAAGCATCACCCCTCTTTTGTACATTTTCTGCTGGAGCAGCTTCTTCATTGCTTAAATCTCCTGAAGACACCACATCATCATAAGCAATTGAATCCCTATCACTCCTGGAATCACCTTTGGTATTATTGGCCATATTCAAAAGGTATGGTCTATGTGTAATCCATCATCAGTGCATCTAGAAAACCTTTCAAAATAAAATCAAGGAACAGCATTGTTCAATATTGTCCAGTCTTGTTTATGATCTAAATGATTTATTGTACCTACTGGTTAGTCTCTCCTTGCTTTTTTGCAGCACTAAGACAGTGAGTGTACTGCTAATCGCTCCAAATGATGATCAGTCGTTGCCCAGTTAGACAAAACCTCATTTAGTAATAACCCTTTTTTTGCCTCATGTTGAAAGCTGTGAATCGCCATCTTAGAATCTGGATGAATCAACGGGTTTTTTTTAAAGAGATTGCAGTCCCTCTCGCTATGGATTTTCCCGGTCCAACTTCCTGTTGCGACAATTTCAATAATTATTCACGAAAACGTCAATTTTGTTTTGACTTATCGGTGATATTGGTCATGGTGATTTTGCAAAGGTAACTCGTAGTAGGTGAGATCACAGAGATAATACATACACCGTAACACAAGTTTCAGTAACGTTCCTTGTGCAACGAAGGAATGTTACACGCAACCTCAAAAGAGACGTCTATCAAGGTTACCCACGCGATTGTCTTAACTTATTGTGAGTCATGCATGCAAAGGAACCTAACGACTTGCGACTACATTTTCTATTCCGGGGATAATTTTTTAAATTCAAACTAATAAAATTAATCAAATATTTGTTTAGCTTCTTCCTGAAACAAAAATTAAATCAAAGACCAGCCGGATTGGAAAGCCCGCCATTATGAAGCGAAGACGGTAGATCCAACCCTGCGTAACTATGATAATATGGAGCAATTATTTTCAGTCACATTTAAAATTCAACAAGGATGCATAGATTTTACCTTCACAACAAGATCTTGATTAAATTCGGCTCAAAATGACTGCCGTTCTCCTCCATAGAAGCCCCTTCTTGGGGAAAGTTTAACTTTCAAATCAGCATTACAAAAGAGACTGGGCCTAGACCAAACGTTAATTATCACTAGGTGTGCTGAAGCGTGAGATGGGAACGGGTCCATGAAGGGGATTGTTATTTGCACCGTACAAAAATAATTTCTTTTGATGCACCTTCTTTCTTTTCTAAACTTTTGTTTGATGTAAATATGTTGTATGAAGTGGATACCCACTCGGTGAAGATGCTTGTGTGCCTTTTACCTTTAGAGGTCATAATCAAAACTTTAGGTCTCACGGGAGGACATCAAGTTGAAGTTAAGGTCGAGTCTGCCCACAAGACCGACTTGCAAAGCTGTTGTAACACATCCTATGTTTGGTAGCATGGAGCAGCAATAGCATTGGTGCTTATCGCTGGCTGGAACAATTGTCCATATACAGGTTACCTCTTGGAATTTTTTCAGGTTTTCTAAACAGTCTACTGACACCTATTAACATCGGTATGTATAATTATTTTCCTTTCCGTTTTGTATACATTTCCTGGTTCTTATTGGGAGAGTTTGTCTAAAAATCAAAACCTTCAATTGATGCTAATTTCCTTTCTTCTCATAATCTTAATGTTTGATTCAGGCGTAATACTGTAGGGGAAATAAGTTAGTAAACACATCCAGGGATCAAGGGTTTTAAAACTACTTGGTGGAGAGGCTCCTTGAGAGAGGTGTTGGTCCCGAGAACACAATTCATTGACTTCACCAGAGCTTGCTCTCAGTTTGTTTGATCTAAGACCCAGTATGTTAATAAAATAGCTAGGTCACTGTATCTTCTGTTAAGAGTCCATGGTACTCAAAATAGTGGCTAGACTCAAGGCACAAATTGCTTCTTAACAGAAAGGAGGACATGAGTGGACTGGGATGGGAGCTCAGGCAAGGTTCAGTGGGCAGGGAGAAAAGGGAAAAAAGAAAAGGAGAAATGCAAACATTTCTCAATCAATGGTCTGCAGTGTCTCTAAATACTTGGGGGGAAACAGGTATCAAAGCCAAAGGCAACAGAAGAGTACAGAATAGGAAGAGAGAGATTCTCATCCTAATCCCCAGCCTGACAAGCCATTCAAACAAAAACAAGTTATCTAAAAAGAGCATTTTAATGAGCGCCTTTTTCTGCTGTTTATTTGATGATGTCTGTAGCTTTTTAAAAGTATAAAAGCTTAATGTTTACAATATAAAGAAGCTTAGATTTACCATACACAAGGGTGGAAAAGCCTCTAAGAAAATAAACCCCACAAATTCTGAATGGAGACTCCTACCAAAGAGTTGGGAGGGGAGAGTTTGGAAGTGAAAATAAACTTTAGTACACACTGAATTTTTCTTCATTTCTTGAAGGAAAATTTCAACAAGGAAGTGTCTTAAAACCAGTATTTTTCATACTATTTAAAAATCATAACAAGAATTCTAGGATTGATCGAGCAAAGAAATTACTTGAATCAAGCCTTTTAACACCCCATTTGGCAAAAATCAAAGGTCTCCCATACAGAAAATAGAAGCTAGAGATGAGAATTAACAATCAGATCTTGGGAGTTAAAGGGTTAAGGAAGGGGAAAAGTATTAATGACTTGTGAGCATAAAACTAGTTCAAAGCTGTCTATTCAATTTGGGTAGAAAATGACAAACCCATTTCAGAAAAACCATAAAATGAGCTATAACTATTATGCTTAATAGAAGCTGTATGTGCCCGTGCTTCAAAATGTTACATGTGATTCACTGATATATATATATATATGTATATATATACTGTACAAGATGTGTCCAATTGTCCTGCAGTCATAAAAGTTGTGACATCTAAAGTACAGTGAGGATCAAGCTGTGACTTCGTCTTGATGATCTCCATTAGAAGTTTTCTGCCTTTTCAAAAATTCTTCACCCTCCTAAAGAACAAGCAAAGCACAAGTCAGACAAAGTCAGCAACAGAAAATTCAAACAAACATAGCACTCCAGTCTTTATGGCACAAAGTGTACTTCTTTGATTTGTTTTCCTCCTTGCAACAATTATTATTTATGTTTAGAGAATTAGCAATTGTATATTTCCAAATGGTGACTGAAAAAAGTTGAGTTAAGTGCCCTTCAAAATATCAGACTTGATTTCTTTTGTTAAATCTTTTACCTCTGTAATCTAATTTTGAATTCTCTCTCATAGCTGCTATACATTGTCTTGTTCATGATTTAAGTGGTTTGATGTTATATCAGGAATACATTCTACAGCTGGAAAAATTTAATTTTGTCACATTTTTGCCTTATGATGTGTTTAAATTGTGCCAAGCAGTTACTTGTCAATAACTTTTGTAGGTTGAAGGGTTAGGAGAAAATTTCTCTGATATTGGAATTGTCTTTGAAACTTTGCTAGCTCACCCATATAGAAAAGAAGGAAATTTGGGAAGGGTTTTCAGTGTAATCATCTTAGATATAGTTCAAAATATTTTTTGAAGCTTTCATCATTTTTTAAATTTTGGATTTATGACTTAAATCATGACTTAAGTTGAATGGAGATTGTGAGTTAAGGTGAAAAATTTACAGGACCTAAAATAAATCTCCCTGATTCTTAACCTGGCTGTTGCATGTAAATTAACAATTTAGACAGCTGTATTTCCAATAGTTTTTGGGAAAGTCTGGTTATTTAATGAATGTATCAAATAACCAGACTTTTAAAAAAACAAGGAGACAAACAGCTTTTTTATTTGTTATTTATGTACTAAGTGACCTTCAAATATGTTAAAATAATCCTCTAAAAGCAGATTTGCCAATTGAAAAAGAAAACATTTATCATTACTAAGGGATTTTTTTTGCTGAAAACAATGATATAGCTATGTAACCGAGGTGATCTAAGCAAAATTTATGACTGTGGTAAGATATGATTAATTATATTAAAAAAATAAAGGAAATCAACTCGCTGTCACTCTTTCTTGTTAAGAGCAAAATATTGTCACGAAAAGTCACGTTAATGTTTAAGCGTCTCAAATAAAGCCCACAAACTTGACAGACGACTCTTAAAAACGAACATTCCCGTTCTAATAAAATAAAGTTCTATGAGTTCACCCTTTGAAAGTTCGTTATTAACCCTTTTGGCAAACACGCGATCTCCTGAAGTATTTTTTCCTATCACTCGCGCGGAACAGAATTTAGTGTCAAGTTTCTAGCTAAAGCGTGGCGACCTTGTAGAAATTCAAAAGCTATTTGTCTGTTGAACTAGAACAGTAGTGACGTAAAAACAATAGACTTCCCATTTAAAGAAATAGAATCGCAGCGAAGCGTGCATCACATGCCAAAATGGCGTGACAGAGTCATAAAGTGCAATATTCTGACCGGACAATGTCATTTTCGCCACTAACAGAAACCAATCGAGGCGTGGAAAATAGTGAAATACACAACTCGTAAACATTACGTGCAGCGTTTTCGCGTGTAGAGCCCGATTTTCTCAGCGAGCGGAAATCATTATCATAATTTAAATTTCCATGTGACAATGACAAACAACACTTTACACGGAATTTTGTCTGAACAATCTTTTGAGCATAAAGCAGCGGTACCAGAAAATCGACTTAGGAGTCCCGTAAACAAAAAACAAAAAAAACGATTTTTTTCTTACCTCGACAGTTTCTTGCATAGTTCCTTTCCGTTTCAGGTCTTGTTTGTCCTCTTCCTTTTCGCCATTCTGTTTATCAGCTTCGCTTTCTTCTATGGCAGCTTTCACCGCTTCGGTTTCCCCACGTGTTCCACCGTCAACCGTATGGCCCTCGTTTTCTAAAAACTTCTCACCTTCCTAAAAAGGAAAAATGTACCGTCGATAAGCAAAGTTCAGTACAAATTTAGCAGAAACTCTTACTGATCTCACCGCTGCGGTAACAACCATCGTCCCATCGCGTTTGACAGCTGGTTTATCTCCAGCATTCTCTTCGCAGTTTCCGTTTGCTTCTTCTTCATCTTCCTCGTCGTCGTCTTCGCCGCTTTCCTCTTGATCGCCCTCCTCATCAGTTTCTTTCATAGCCGCAGTCTCTGATCGCGTTTTACCGCGTTCTTCATCTCCAAGGAGATCGCTTCCCTCCTAAAAGTGTAAAACATATTCTCAAAAACAGGCCGTTTCGACTTGTGAGTTTTAAATTTGTGGAAAGGAAGCGAAACCAACCAACTATCGAACTTCATGATCTCACCTGTGCGGTCGCAGCCATAGTCGAAGTTCGTTTCAGTTTGCTAGCAGCGTCCTCTTCGTTTTCTTCAAGTTCTTTTTGTTGTGCTCTTGTTTTTGTATCTTCGTGAACCTTTCCATGCTCTTCTAGAAACTGTTCTCCCTCCTAAAGTAAGAAACAGAAATCATAATTCATCTTATTCCGGAAAACCATACGGTCAAGATTCTCAGAGGTGTTCGCGCGCTTTCGATCTTTCTCCTCACCTTAGCAGTCACAACCATGGTTGAGTCCTTCTTGAGTGCGGGTGCTTCTTCGGCCATCTAGTGGAAATGAACCGTCGAGAAGTTGTAGAAAGAAAGAATAAAGGCACAACTATAGCAACGAACAAAAGCGACAGAAGAAAGAGACAGAAATGAAAGATGCCGCACTAAAAAAAGACTTAGGTACAAAATAAACTCCAAAGCGCGGAAACGCAAAGAGCGCTTCGCATTGGCTACTTACTTGTCAACAGGCACAATGCCAACAGTTCTGATTGGTTGTTCCTCATTTGAAGTGCTTTCACGTGTTTAAAATTGGCTTTCATGGCGTTCTCCGATTTCCTGTCAAGAGCTCAAAACACACCAGACTGATTCAAGAAAATAAACGATCTTTCCCTCGACATTCGCAGACGAATGATAGATAAACCAACTTAAACCAAATATGGGGACATCAATAGATGTATTAGAAAGTACACAAATGATAACGGAGTACTTTGAATTTGAGACCTCTATGCTCAGCACCTGTGCTTGTTTTGTGTTAAACAAAGGCTAAAGGTTTCAGTTTTACAAATAGCAAAAACAAAGTTTCTGTTGTCTACCGATAGGCAGTAATGAATACAGCCATCTGGTAGACAGAGAACGCTAACGTCTGATTGGCGAAAAGAAAGTACAATAACACACGTGTGTAAAACAACTTTGGATGACGTCAAACTTGACCCTTTCAACAAACTCTAAACGGGGCTTAGGATTCATGCGTAACAGCCCGATAATACAACACTAGAGAAAGAAAAAATGGTTAAGACTGAAATTAAAGGGCATTGATACAAAATTCTTGAAAAAAAAGTAATAAATACAAGCAAAAAACTAGAAAGGAAAAAAACACCCACCCAGGGAAGGATCAGTTTATAGAGGTTCGCTCCAACCTCTTTCGCGAATTCGCCCGTTCCCTCGCCTTACCAGTTCTCCTCCAAATCTTCAAACTCGTTACCTAATCGCGGAACTTAATTCATTTTCTTTCGAAGTCATAATGCATTTTGATCACCATGCAATATCCGGGTAAAGAAGAACTGCACTTTGAACTTTTCCGGAAATCGAAATCAGCCTCAATTTAAAATCAAACATCTTGATGGTTTCGATAAGGCCCTGGGAACAAGTCTTGAACAATAACTGCAACCAACTCAAGGATAACTTACTTATTTAGAAAACCTCAGTGACGTTACCAAAATTTGTTTGTCATTCATCGTTCATGCCATATCGCAGAACTTTATTTGAATATTCCCTTTACAAGAATCAGTAATAAACGCCAAAAAACGATTGAATAAACTAGCTCTAGCTATTCACTTGTGTATCTATGATATCCAGCATCATTAGTTAGGCTCTTACCGATAGTGCTAGCACTCTTATTGGCATTATTTGGCTTCGCGAGCATTTTTTTTTTTACAATTTATCCCAAAAAACACTGCTAGCATTATTTTGGATTTTCGACTGATTATTTGTATAATTTTGTGTTAAAAAGCACAATCTGCCTTTATTAATGTCGTCCAAAGCCGCATTAGTCAAAGGAGCCGAGGAGGCCTGGGGATAGGTTTGATAGGTCAGCGGTTGCCTTCTGGAAACCCAGTCCATCACACTCGTTCCAAGATGGCGTCATTCACGTTGTCATCGAGGAACAATGGAAGTCAGCCAGCCAAGGCAGAGATAGCTCGAGAACGTGCTCTGCCATCAATCGGTGGAAAAAATAAGACTATGAGAATATTTTTTGTTTAAAAAAATCGGAAAAAAGTGAGCATTTTTATGTAACCCACGAGTACTTTTAAAAAAAATTAGCATTATTTTAGCACTTTTTTGGCAAAAAACAAGCACTGCTCTAAGCATTTAATGCTTTTTTACGAGCACTATCGGTAAGAGCCTATCATTAGTCGGTGTGAAATCGACCAAACCCCTATTCATTCCATTACAAATGATGCTACAGAAACTAACTAATGGAGAAAGGGTGGAGTGGGAAATAGAAATTATTCCCTGAAATGTGCGCACGAACAATTTTTATTTCATGAATAATGAATAATAAATCAAAAGGAGTGTCTTTGTTCTGAAAGAGCAGGGAGGAAGAGGCTCACCAGGAACTTTTAAAAAGTAGAAGTAGGATGTCAGAGAAGTTAGGGGAGAGGGAAGGGTTAGCACTTATCGGATCCTGCAAGTTACCAACTTTCCTCATGGTGTGATACCCACAGGAACCCCGTGCAAATTAGCTGGCATTACAGGCAACGTACACCAGCCACATGAAGTTGCCAAGTAGGCTCCTGGGGAAGGGCAGACAGAAGTGCACAAAATGATAATTATATATTGCGTAGTTTGCAGTTTTGTGTGCGCTCCAGCAATGAGCGGCGAAGTTGCGAAAGGCTTGAGACGGAAAGTAGTTTAAACTTCTTGGGGAAGGCAGTTGCGCGTGTCAGACAAATCACCCAAAGAAAAATGGAGGTTAGAAATTAATAGCGCACCTCGCGGAACTCTGATATTGAGGCGCGAAGAGTCAAGTTCTTCCTCGGCACCCTATTTCGGTTGAGGTCTCCGTGCCCTCAAAATTAGGATTTGACGCATAAAATTCTCTCAGTTGTGCGAGGTCAAATTTTTCTGTACTCCCTTTTTCGGTGCCCACTACCAGAGTTACGCGCGGTGCACTTACATCACTTTTTTTTTTTCTTAGTTTTTTCACTCGCGCAACGTACTTAGCTGAAAAAGGAAGTGCGGTTCGCAGTCTAATATAAACTCGGCTTTTACGCTCTCTTAGCGCATGCAAAACTGTAGGGCTTACAGAAAACCACGGGGCTGAGCAGGTTTTTCCCAGTCGCGGTTTCGTTACTCACTTGAAGCACACAAAAACCAAGTAGCACTCAAAAACACCTGCCATACAGGCTAAAAACAAACAAAGAAAAGAAAAAAGAAATATAGAAATAATAATAACGTAAAAATACGAATGAAAGTCCGCGTGTACTTCTGGGATTGCGCGGCTGCAGCGCGCCGTTTTAAAATGGCGGTAAACGTGTCTAGTCTTCTATACACCGCGGAGTCTTGTACACTGGTGCAAATCGCGTTTATTCTCTCTTATTGTAGTTTCTTTTCGATCGTGATAGTTCAAGAGTTATTTAAAAAGGTGAACTTATATTGCTGAATCGCAGTCATGATCAGGGACAGGCTGAGGGATCCGTAAAACAGGTAAGGCCGACGCACTGAGTAGCAGGATGTTATGTCCCTACAACTTTTTGAAGTTACAGGGCCATGTTCCTCGAAAAAAAAACCCACTATTTTCTGTGTCCAGGTCTAAAACTGGGATGGAGATGTGAAACTTGCATCAGATATTATTATTATTATTAAATGTATAGACATCTCAGAATGCTTCAAAACTATATGTTTAATGCAGAGTTGATGGTTGGTTTGATTGACATCAGACTACTATTGATTGGCTCGTGGTTACGCTGTATTCTTACACTTTCAACTTAAACCTATTACTTATCATTTCTTTATTTGAACTGATCAGCTCGTAGCTGAAATACAATATAACTACAAGATATGTGGATGGAACACTATACCATCAGACTTGATTTTAAGAGTAAATCAATTGAACCATTTTTCATTTTGTATATTAAGATGCAATCAGAACCGAAACATCTAAACTCCCCCTCAGTTAATTAACTGAATGAGTATTAGTTGCTTATTAAGGTTGAGGGTTAGTGTTAATTATGAATTTTTATTTAAGGGGAGTCTATGATGTGTCCAAGTTCCAAATTTTTGGTATGGAAGTATTCTTATTTAGAGTGTCAATTTCTCCTTAGGAATAAAAAATGATACAAAAGTTAAGTCTGACTGATTTCAAAGGCTCAGATTAAACAAACATACATGTAGTGTTATAGTGCAAACTTAAAAACCCTATGTATACAAGCAGACCGTAACTAACCATACAAGTTAATTTTTCTCTTCAGAACACTAATCCAGTCACATTCAGAAGATGTAGGTAAGAGCATTAAATGAAATACTTCTATAAATTTTTTAGCTATTTTGTCCCAAAATAACTTTTTAAATTTTGAGCTTATTAAGCTATTTAATAAACTCATATCCAAAGCTTTTATTTCTAAAATGGTTGTACTCAAGAAACTATTTTTGAAATAATTAGCTTTGATACTATTATTTCTGAAATGGTCAAACTCAAGTGATTATTCTTGAAATAAATAGCTTTGATGCTTTTATTTCTCAAATGTTCAAACTTAAGTGACTGTTTTTGAAATAAATAGCTTTGATGCAATTATTGATTTGAAATCAACAATAGCTTTCATAGAAAAGATAATTTTCATTTGATGCCTGGCCTAGAGTCTACAAAATGTGACAAGGGTAGTGTCCTGGAAATAAGACCAACAGCCAATCTCTGGGTAAAAATAAAACAAACAAGCAAACAAACTGATGACTCCAGGTATGTAGTTTTTATATGAGCCTTACTTGTCATTAAAACATCACAGTAGCTATTATTATGGCTGAATTGCAGTTTCATTGTTTTTCTAGATATGTGTATACATGCTCTTAAATTGCTCTAAAACTAACCTAGTGCACCAAAGCTGGACACGTAAACCCCTAAAAACCCTTGCATGAGGGAAAAATGGGGACCATGTACCCTCAACCAGTGCTAAGGTGCAACCTTTGGAGTTTTAAGGCATCTTATAAATAGTTAACTTTCAATTAACTAAACAAAGTTCTATCTGCAGTGCAACTTTAAGGAAATGTCAAAACATTTTCTGTAGTAACTGTTGCATATGTACATTCATTTGATGAACAGTAAGCTTTCAGTTATCAGGTACTCTCACAGCTAGGTTTTCGTTTAATCATTTGTTGCCCAAAAAAGGGTTCACAACCCTATGCCATTTTCTATACCTTGAACTTAATAATAAGTTGGATCAATTCAATTTCTTTTCTTCAAAAGTTCAACTTCAATCTTTAGTAGAGGTCTGCCTAGTACATGCCTAGAACACAAAAGTACACATTTACACACTTGTATTGATACATTGAAGGACAAAATTCAAAATCAAAACTAATAATCAAATCCAAACATGAATTTGCATAAATGCATTTTTTTTAAACCTACTTAACAATAAAATAATGCCAACAAACTGGAATAATAGAAAAGGGATAGATACTTTTAAAAAGAGAGTTGCAGAGATAACTATGCATCTTTTGCTCATTTTTGTAGCTCACAAATTTTGATATGAAAGGCGTATGCTTAGAGGAGTAAAATTGTTTATTGCTATCAGGTTGCTAGCTTGATGTCTTACTTGTTTTGAATGAGATGGTCACGCATTCACTGTGGCATACTCACATTCCCTATGCTTAAAACTGAGGGCTTAATTTTATCACTATTGAATTAATAGATTATTCCCCCTTTATATTACGTCACCATTAGCAGCCTTAATTATTTTTCTTACCTTTATAAAGTCATAACCAGGAGTGTGTTATTATCCATATAGGTTGGTTTCACCAGTTTGAAGCATTTAGATCACCACACAGTTCAGGTACATAATGAAGCTGGTAAGAACTAAACAAATGAAATGCGTTTATGTACAAATTTAAACACATCTCAGGCATAGATTGGATAATTGAGTCTTCATAAATAGTTTTAACCCTTTAACTCCCAGAGGTGATAAAAAGTAACTTCTCCCTATAATAACTAAAAATTATCAAACAAACAGGTCATGAGAATATTCAAACTTATCAGGTCAAAGTTGTGATCTCAATCTGACTCCAAATTCTCTTAACTTATCTACAAGTAGCAGCTAGAGAGGAGAATTAACAATCAGATTTTGGGAGTTAAAGGGTTAACTTATCATCAACTACATTATTGTGA